GGCTGAGACTATCAGCACACTTGCTTCCACAGGTATCACCATAGCTATTGATCTGAAATCTAGAAGCATCACTTCTAATGCCACAACCTTATTTAAGACCTTGGCCACAGATATGACTGCAATCATCACATCTATTGCATTTACCTTGGAAGGTGACACAGCCAAAGTTTCAATCTTTAATGCTTTATCTACATATAAACCTACTAACTTTATGTGGATAATACTACTTCATTGTCTCTCATTACAACACCTGCAGTCACTGCTGCCACTACCATATCTGAAATATCAGCTGTACCTACCACACCTGCACTTACATATTCTCCTTCTACTCATTTCTCTATATCTGATGCAGTCAGTAATCTGTCTATCTGACCACATCTAGGGACTTTCCCCCAACATCAAATGACCTGTTAATTGTCAACTTTTCTCCTGCTACCACTCCCCCCACAACTATACTTGCACATCTGCACTTACCAATACCAGCCCCCACCCCAGTTGCTTTCTCTGCCTCACCTGGAGGCACCACTAGCCACTCCCACTGCCACTCTTTACCACCACAGAGGCCTACACTGCCCTTTCTCCCACAGGCACAGCTGTCCTTATCAGCTCCAACCCTACTACCATTTCTACTTCCATTTTCCCAGAGGCTGCCACAGCTACTCTCTACAACACCAGCTGCCATTGCTCTTTCTGGTACAAGAGCTTCTTCTACCACAACTGGATCATCTCTGATATGATTTGGATTTATATACCCACCCAAATCTCAAGTCAAATTGTAATAATCGTCAGTGTTGGTGGAGGGACCTAATGGAAGGTGACTGAATCATAGGGGCGAATTTCCCTCTTGCTATTATTATGATAGTGAGTTCTTACAAAATCTAGTTGTTTAAAATTGTGCAGCACCTCCTTTTGCTCTCTTCCTCATGCTCCGGCCATGTAGGATGTGCCAGCTTCCCCTTCGCCTTCTGCCATGATTGTAAGTTTCCTGAGGTCTCCCCAGCCACGTTTCCTGTACAGTCTCCAGAACTGTAAGCCAATTAAACCTCTTTTCTTCATAAAATATCCAGTCTCAGGTAGTTCTTTATAGCAATGGGAGAACAGCCTAATACAATCTCCCCTAGCAAGAACCACATCTTCTGTTACTACTCTGGCTGCCATCACCACACTGGCTCTCATCACAGTTTTACTTACCACCTCTTGCACTTATACCCACTGTTTCTCTTTCTACCAATATACCAGCAGGCACCAATACTTCCTCAGCTGCCTCCAGCACTGCTACCACTAATACTTGGTCTAATTCCACCACATCTCTTAATATTTTATCAGCTTCCATTACATCTTCTGCCTCCAGTTCACAATATCAACTGTGACCACCTCGATCCCACAGACATTCCTACTTCCTCTAACTCAACTGCCACATCTACACTCATTGACTCTCCCATACTTTATTCATTTTGCATACCTCCTCTATAGTCAATGCTCTAGTCTCCACAGAGGATATGACATTTTATCCCAGTACATTTGATAATATTACACTTGATTATGAACCTGACACCACTAATCTCCACACAAGTACAACTGATTGCATCAGTTCTTCTACTGCTTTGATATTACCAGTGACTGAATATTCCTGCATACACATAAGCCAACTTCTAATTCCAAACTCTATATACCTACTGCTGTTTTATTCATCGCTACTCTCTGCAACACCAGATGCCACTACTGCTTCTGCAACAAGAGTTTCTTCCACAACATCTGGATCATCTCTGATATGGTTTGGATTTGTATTCCCACCCAAATCTTATGTCAAACTATAATCCTCAGTGTAGGTGGGGGGACATAGTGGGAGGTGACTGGATAAGGGGGCCGGTAATTTTAATATTTACCACTTTATTCAATCATGAGGCTGACAGGCAGACATACAGATAATTACTGAAAGATCTAACCTAACACCAGAAGTTTTGTAATGATTATTTCTTCTAAGAAATGTGTTATATTGTATATAAATTAAATATATATTTATTTGGTGTTACAGAGAAACACCATCACTATGCTGATGCTATGTACTGGTGGGGAAAAAAAAATTAAGTAAAGTATAGTAAGAATCAATATCATTAAAATGGCCATAATGCCCAAAGCAACTTACAGATTCAATGTTATTTCTGTCAAACTACCAATGACATTCTTCATAGAGCTAGAAAAAAACTATTTTAAAATTTATATGGAACCAAAAAAAAAAGCCCACAGATAGCCAAGGCAATCCTGAGCAAAAACAACAAATCTGGGGCATCACATTATCCAAATTCAAACTGAAGTAGGGGACGGGACTTGACCCCAGAGGCAGGGCTCAGACACGGACCAGATAGAAGACTATCTAAAACAGGACAGGGTCAAAAGAAGCTTTTGATTGACCCACCCACTAGTGTGCTAAGTCAATTTACTATCATCATGGCAATACCTGGGAGTTACTGTCCATTTCCATGGCACCCAATGATCCAAAGTTACTACTTCTTTCCTACATAAACCACCGCTTAAACTGCATGCAATTAGAAGTGGGTATAAATATGACTGCAAAATTGCCCTAAACTGCTACTCTCTGCTTATAGGAGTAGCCCTGCAGGCGCAATCAAGGAGCTATAACACCACCAGAACTGTAACACTGCCTGTTCAATAAAGCTGTTTACTTCTACCTCCAGCTTGCCCTTGAATTCTTTCTTGGGCAAACCCAAGAACCCTTGCAGACTAAGTTCCACTTTGAGGCTCACCTGCCCAGCATCAAAACTATACTACAGGGCCACAGTAACCAAAACAGCATGGTACTATTATAAAAACAGACACATAGATCAATGGAACAATATAGATAGCCCAGAAATAAGAACACGCACCTACCACCATCTGTTCTGACAAAGCTGACAAAAATAAGAAATGGAGAAAGGACTCCCTATTTGATAAATGATGCCTGGATAACTGGCTAGCCACATGTAAAAGATTGAAATGGGACCCTTTCCTTACACTATAGACAAAAATCCACTCAAGGTGGATTAAACACTTAAATGTAAAACCCCAAAATATAAAAATCATGGAAGACAACCTAGGCAATAAAATTCTGGACATAGGAACAGGTAAAAGTTTCATGATGAAGACACCAAAAGCAATTGCAACAAAAGCAAAAATTGATTAATGGAACCTAATTAAACTTAAAGGCTTCTACACAGCAAAAGAAACCATCAACAGAGTAAACAGACAACCTACAGACTGTGAGAAAATATTTGCAAACTATGCATCAGATAAAGTATCTATAAGTATCTATAAGAAACTTAAACAAATTTATAAGAAAAAAAAGCATTAAAATGTGGGGAAAGGACATGAACAGACACTTTTCAAAAGATGACATACCTGCAGCCAACAAGCATATGAATAAAAGCTCATTATCACTGATCATTAGAGAAATGCAAATCAAAACCACAATGAGATACCATCTCACACCAGTCAGAATGGCTAGCACTGAAAATAACAGATGTTGATGAGGTTGCAGAGAAAAGAGAACACTTCTACACTGTTGGTGGGAGTGTAAATTAGTTGAACCATTGTGGAAATCAATGTAGTGATTCATCAGAGAGCCAAAAACAGAATTACCATTCGACACAGCAATCCCATTACTGAGTATATACTCAGAGGAATACAAATCATTCTACCATAAAGATGCACACAAATGTTCATTGAAGTACTGTTCACAATAGTAAAAACATGGAATCAACATAAAAGCCCATCAATAACAGACTGGATAAAGAAAATGTGTACACTTACACTGTGGAATCCTATGCAGCCATAAAGAATGAGATCATGTATTTTGCAGGAACATGGATGGATCTGGAAGCCATTATCCTTGGAAAACTAACACAGAAACAGAAAACCAAATACCACATGTTCTTACTTATAAACACGAGCTAAATTATGAGAACTCATGGACACAAAGGAATAACAGACACTGGGGCCTACTTGAGGGTGAAGGGTGGAAGGAAGGAGAGGAGCCAAAAAAATAACTACTGGGTACAAGTCTTAGTACCTGGGTAATGAAATAATCTTTGCAACAAACACTCATTATTTGAGTTTACCTATATAGCAATCCTTCATGTGTACCCCTTAACCTGAAGTAAAAGTTTAAAAAAAAAAGAAGGAAAAAGAATCTGAAGATGAAATGCAAACTATTCACATTAACTAATATTAGATGTGAGAAAAGTATGATATAAAAAAACTGTTGGTAATATCATCAAGAACAACTCTCATCAGACTGAATAAAAAATTTTAGTGAGTCTACAAAACTGTGAAGGGGCTATGGCTCTGTTCACAAGGCATCTTTTTTTGTTGTTATTCCTTTTTCTCTATTTCATTTATTTCTGCCCTTATATTACTTTCTTTTTTCTCTTGTGTATTTTGTTGCTTTTGCCAAGTTCTTAGAGATGTCAAAAGTTTAACTCATTTGTTTTCAGTGTTTCTCATTTTTTTATATTTGAGAGCTAGAGGTTACATGTTCCTTTGTGTCCCATAAATACTGGTTTTTTGTATTTCACTGTTATTCAGCTGTAAATATTTTGTAATTTCCTTAATTAATTATTTTATAGTTTCAAATGTATTCAGTAATATGTGATTTCATTTGTATGCATAGAGATGTTTTTACCTAGTCTGATTTCTATTGATTAGCAAGAGAGTCCACTATAGCCTCCAAAATAACTGACACTTCTGTCCAGAGCACATACTTAACAAGAGGAAAATATGCATATTCAGACACAACCCATTGTTTCTCAGGAAGTAATCAAGATACAAAGGATAACTGTCAACTAAACAAACAACCAACCATTCTTGGTATAAAAGCCTCAATCCACACATGACCTTTACTCAATTACAGTATTTCCTGTTCTTAAAAGCATCTAGTAGGAAGGCTATAAGAAATTTTCTCTCACTGATCTTTCTTATTTGCTATGTTATATTTTAAGTTGCTTCTTTGCTACAAAAATGCCTAGGCACAGTAACCAACAAGAATACAACTGACAAGTAGTTTGACCAGATCTGAAGGAAGTATTCCTTAGAAGGTAAATACCTGGGAATTCAAAAATTAAGACTTTTGAATAGAGCAAGGTTATTTTCTTAAGCATTGCATTTCTAATGATTACTGTAAAAATCCACTGATTAAACCAGCATTTCTAAATGTTCTTTCAGATTACAATATGGTTAGTAATGCTATTTTATTTTTTAATTATTATGTAATTTAACAGTATGACAAAAAAATTTATGAGATTTCATAGGACTAGTTCTAATGAAATCCACATTCTGCCTAATTTACCATGTCTTGATTTTATTTTCTACCAGCAAATAATTTTTTAACATTAGTGATATGTCCTGTCTACCTGACATTAATCCTAACATAATTCACTGTATGGGGAGCTGTATGCGTCTTTTCAGTATTTAATGGTTATATCTAGTTTACTTACATTTTGGCTAAGAAAAACTCCAAATAAGGAAGAAAAGACCAGAAAAATATTTAATCTCCAGGGGAAAACAGCCTTACAAATAGAACTATAAAAGTTCATTTTTTTGTTTTGGCCTTTAAAATGTCATATGAGTTTCACACTGCAATGGAGGAATATAGGATAATATTTCTCATTATCAATGTTAGACTTAGACTCCATGAGCATATGCATCATATCTGTCTTGAACATCTTTGAATTCTCCAGGTTCTAACACTTTGCCCAGGACGAAGCACCAGCACACAAATGACAAAGAAAGGAGAAGAATAAATAAAACCTAATGTTTGATAGATCAGTAAGGTGACTACATTTTAAAATAGATAGAAGAAAATAATTTGAATGTTTCTAGCATAAAGAAAAGATACATTTAAGGTAATGAATATCCCAATTACACTAATTTGATCATTACAAATTATATTAATGTATTAGATTATCACATGTACCCTGAAAATATGTACATCTATTATACATCAATTGAAAACATTTTTAAATAGTAATTTAAAATGGAAGGAGACAGAAAAATGGGAAGAAAAAAACAAAATGAGGAAAAAGGAAGGGGATGAGAAGGGATGAGAAGAAGGAAAATTAACAGCACATCCCTTGTAGGAAAAAGACATGTTTCCTCAAGACATATTTTGAGAAATGTAAGCAATGCTAAACATTTGAAAACATAAACAGTGGTCCCAGGGCAAGTGGGGTGAGGAGAGCTGATGAGGGTTGGGGGACAGGAAAACTCTATTTATATATACAATCAATTTAAAGTATTTTAAGGGCTTCCAAAGATTAAACAACAAAGATTGGAATAAAGCCAAGTATAAGTATATCAGCTATTTATTGATTCAATACATTTTTATTGTGTGGTATTATATGTATTTACATAAGTTCTGGAAATTGAGCATAGAAGCAGACAGATTATACCCCTACCTCCATATAGCTTTCAGTTCAGTCACCTTTTTAATATTATATATGTTGTCTTTAAACGTGGTCTAAACATTCTTAAGAACTTTGTTATTATACAAATATCTTATCACATAGGGATGGTAATGCTAATGAAAGAAGGGCTATACTATGCACATCAGTACAACCATAAAATGACCCAAAATGTTAGGATGAAAAGCCTGGAATTGATAACTACAAAACTATAAAAGTTTTGTAGTTATAAAACTATATGGGAAGTACTTATAACTTACAACTCATGCAGGGAGTTTTATAATGAAAACAGAGTATCTTTAAAATAATGTATCAGAAATGAGAAAAATCAATGGGGGAAGTAAGAATGGTGGCAGCACCTACATATGGAGGGATGGGTCTTAATAAATACACTTATATTACTTTATCTTTGAGAAAAATGCAAAAGAGTATAAATTGACTCCAGATGGATTAAAGATTTAAACTTAAGACCTAACATCATAAAACCCTAGAAGAAAATCTAGGCAAAATCATTCAGAACACAGGCATAGGCAAGGACTTCATGACTAAAACACCAAAAGCAATGGCAACAAAAGCCAAAATAGACAAATGGAATCTAATTAAACTTAAGAGCTTCTGCACAGCAAAAGAAACAATCATTAGACTGAACTGGCAACCAACAGAATGGGAAAAAATTTTTGCAAGCTACCCATCTGACAAAGGCTAATATCCAGAATCTACAAAGAATTTAAACAAATTAACAAGCAAAAATCAAACAACCCCAACAAAAAGTGGGCAAAGGATATGAACAGACACTTTTCAAAAGAAGTCATTTATGCAGCAAACAAACATGAAAAAATGCTCATCCTCACTGGTTATTAGAGAAATGCAAATCAAAACCACTTTGAGATACCATCGCATATCAGTTAGAATGGCAATCACTAAAAAATATGGAGACAACAGATGCTGGAGAGGATGTGGAGAAATAGGAATGCTTTTACACTGCTGGTGGGAGTGTAAATTAGTTCAACCATTGTGGAAAACAGTGTGGCTATTCCTCAAGGATCTAGAATTAGAAATACCATTTGACCCAGCAATCCTATTACTGGGTATATATCCAAAGGATTACAAATCATTCTATTATAAAGACAAATGCACATGTATGTTCATTGAGACACTGTTCACAATAGCAAAGATTTGGAAGCAACTCAATGCCCATCAATGATAGACTGGACAAGGAAAATGTGGCACATATACACCATGGAATACTATGTAGCCACAGAAAATGATGAGTTCGTGTCCTTTGTAGAGACATAGATGCATCTAGAAACCATCATTCTCAGCAAACTGACACAAGAACAGAAAACCAAATGCCACATGTTCTCACTTATAAGTGGGTATTGAACAATAAGAACAAAGGGAGGGGAACATCACACACTGGGGTCTGTTGGGTGGCAGAGGGCTAGAGAAGGGATAGCAGGGGGTGGGGAGATTGGGGAGGTATAACATCAGGAGAAATACCTAATGTAGGTGACAGGGGGATGGAGGCAGCAAATCACCATTGCATCTGTATACCTACGTAACAATCCTGCAAGATCTGCATATGTACCCCAGAACTTAAAGTATAATGAAAAAAAAGAAAGAAAGAAAAATCAAAGAAAAGCAGAAGCCAAAAAACTGCATTTAGGATTATCAGACTCATAAGTTCTTTGTCAGAAGGTGGAAGAGTAATAATGAGCGCCTGTAGCCTACCTGCTTGTCTTCTCATCCCTGGCTCCTCCTCCCTCCCTCCTCACCACCCCAACAGAGGTCATGTGAAAACAAATATGGATACTCCAGGCCAAACATCCTCCTCAATTTCCCCTCCAGCCTAGGGGTACATATGCACAGTAGCAACATGGTCTCTGTTAGTAGGATGAACCCAAGGAAGAAGCTTTTGCACTTTCTGGAAGTGAGCTCAGGGAGAGAGGGGAAAAAAAACCTTCTAGTGATTACTCCTGTTGCCCTCTATGGCCACATGAGGGCCAAAATAAGGACTTCTAAACTTCAAGACTCAAATGAGGGATCCCTTTTGCCTAGGCCTGAAGGCAGTACTTGCCATCTTATATAGGCTTAATGTTTTCATTTTTCTTTTGCAGGTAAGTGGACACAAGAAAAATAAGCCAAAAACTAGACTATTGTAAAATCTTTCTTCTAAAGGACCAGCTTCACATTAGCATGTACCTTCTTCCACTAAAACTGGTCAGATTCAACTTCAATCAAATTCATCTAGTCAACAAAGATCCACAGTCTCTCAAACTCGTTTAAATTCTACTGCTTCTAAGAGATCAGAGATGAATCCTAGTCAAATGTTTCCTATCCAACAAGGTAGTCTTCTTTCATCCCCAAACTCATGTGAACTTACTTCTTGAAACAAGTTTTAGATCTGCTAAATCTCGCCCAGGAAAATTTTCATTGAAGTTCACCAAAAAATCTAAGAATTAGATCAATTCAAAACACTTTCCAGTAATCAAAGAAATTTTCAAATAAAAATTAAGCCAAACTCACTAATTCAGCCAAAGAAAATCAAGATCTCAGACAATAAGATCTAGGCACAGGGAAATAAATATTTAAAAGAACAATCTAACACAAAAAGAACTTACCAAAAAAAAAAAAAACAGCCAATCAAATCCTGGGCTAAAATCTCCAACACAACTAAAAGGTTTAACCATTGCACCTGAGAAAGTACAGCTGTCCTCTCCTTGGAAATATCTTGGGTACCTATTAACTTCCCAGTCAGTGAGACCACAAAAGACTAAATTAAATACTAGCAACTTGCACACCTTAATGATTTTCAAAAATAATTGGGAGACATTAATTGGCTCTGCCCCACTTTGGAAACTCCTACTGATAAACTACAAAACCTGTTTTCTATCTTAAAGGGCAATCCAGCCCTGGATTCTCCTGGATATTTAACCCCTACAGCAGAAAGAGAAATTGAGGAAATTGAGCAAGCCATTTCTCACAGGCAGCTAGATCACATAGATCTGCTCTATTCAGTTCACCTATTTATTTTTCCTACCAAACACTCCCCTACAGTGTTAATAGTACAAACAGCCCCCCAGATATGATTTTGGAATGGGTTTTTTTGCTCACGTACTGGGACAAAACTCTGTCCCCCTATATTCAGTTAATTAGTAAAGTCATCTATTCAGGCCACAGATGATGCAATCAGTTGTTAGATTGCATTCTGATGTCATAAGAATAAGAAGTAAAAGGCAATTTGAAGCAGTAATACCCCTCTCTTTAGATCAGCAAATAGTCTTCTCTGATTACACAGGGCAAATAGAGCAGGTATTTCCTGCTTACTGATAAGCTCCTTCAATTCTTATCACATACTCCTGCAATCTTACCTACAAAAATAGTTCACTCCCCCATACCTAATGCTTTAGCACTGTTTACTGTTGGTTCAGGTAAACATGGAAAAGTAGCAGTCTGTGGAGACCACACAATTCACTCACTCAATCTGGATTTACTAGTACTCAGAGAGCTGAAATTGGAGCTTTAATTCTGGCTTTAGAGACTTTTTCCAATCAGCCCATCAATATTGTTAGCGACTCTGCCTACTCTTTATTTATTGCAAAACCTTGAAACAATTCTAATTAAGTCCACTCTGGAGCCCACCCTGTGTGCTCTCTTTCTTTGATTTCAGCAATTCCTGGATTAATGCACACATCCTATTTGTATCACACACACATTAGAGCCCACAGCTCACTGCCTGGGCCACTGCCTTAATGGCAATGAACAAGCAGACCTCCAAGTTATGACATCATTGCTTGACTAAGCCACGCAATCACATCAATTTTTCCACCAAAATTGGAGAAACTTAATTTCAACTTACCCAGAGACTAGCTAAACAAATCATCCTGCAATGCCCGGATTACCAGCTCGCAGGCACATCTCCTCCTTCCACAGGTGTTAACACTAGAGGACTAGAACCTAATCAGTTATAGCAAACAGATGTTACATACATCGCTAAATATGGAAAACTTAGATAGGTACATGTATCCATTGATACCAACACTCATTTAATTAGTGCACACGCTCTTCCTGGAGAATCCACTCAATATGTCATTAAACATCTTTTAACTTTTGTGTTTATGGAGCAGCTGACAAAAATTAAAACTGATAATGGTCCAGCTTATGCCAGCTCACAATTTCAACAATTTTGTCAGACATGGAACATCCAGCATTCCACAGGCATCCCATATAACCCCCAAAGTCAGGCAATGGTAGAACACACCCACTCCATCCTTAAAAATATGCTCAGAAAACAGGAAAGGGGAAGTATGGGGGAAAAAAAACCCTGCAACACTATTGGCACAAGCCTTATTTACGCTTACGTTTGTAAATTTAGATGACAAATTTCAATCAGCTGTAGAAAAGCACTTTGCTAAAACCTCTCAAGATAGAAACAGTAAGATTAAAGAGAGAAATAGAGGGAAAAAATGAGTAAGAGAGAGACTACAAGAGACAGAGATCAGAGATAGACACAGAAAGTGAGACTAAGGAAAAAACGTAAAAAGAGAAGAAAGAAAGAGACAGGGGGGCAAAGAGAGAAGGAGAGGTAAAGAGAAATGGAGAGAAAAAGTAAAGGCATGTTGAAGATTGTAAAGGTCGTAAAAAATGTTATAGGAAAAATTTATGCAGGAAATGTGTATGATTTCAGTTTTAATGGTCTAAGCAAGTTTTAAAATGTTAATTGTAAAAGAAATTCTGTGTATAAACATATTGGCTAAAGTTAAAGAAGTATCAATTTTTCTGTAAACTAGACATTAAAATAAGGCAGAACAGGTTTTTCTTAAAGCACTAACCTGCTCTTTTACAAAGATTATAAAAGGTCTCTTAGCACAGGCACAACCCCTAGAATTTCCAGTACACCAGCCCCAGCCTGGAGACTATGTCCTCATCAAAGGATGGAAAGAAGAAAAAAACTTGAACCAGCCTAGGGAAGCCCACAGGACCACACACACCCCAGGCATCACCTGGGGAATCCTAACGAAGACAAGAGGCTGAGCGAATCCTGCTCTGGACATAGACATCATTCACTCCAGATAATTTGTTTCTTTTTTATTCTCTCATTTGCCTGCAACCTGTACCTGCTGGGCTCATATCTTAGACCTGGCTTTCTTTCACCCTGTCACCTGGGCAGACACTCCCTTCCCAGACTACAATAACGTGACTGCTTGGTTAGCAAGGATAGATTTACCCCCAGTGGGGTCCCTCAGTAATGGCACACATCCAACTAAGGTGCCAAATAACACAATGCATCACTCCACTATCCTCCCACTGTGTGTAAGTTTTAAAGGTTCTAACCCTTACTGTTTACCTGCCCAAAAACAAGTATGGCTACATTATGGCAAAGGGAATGCCTTAACAGTCTTAGCTGCAGGTAGCCTCAAACCAGGCAATGCAATCAATGCTACTTTGCCAAACATTCCTTCCTGTGCTAAAGAACAGAGCCAGGAAAGTAATGGATTCCACTTTAGCTGGGAAGTCTGTCACAGGAAACAAGCACATAGCCTCCAGTTAGGCAAATATAACATTTTAGACTGGAGCCCCCACAATCAATTGCAGGGCAGCCTTACTAATGTCTTCATCCATCAAAGCATTAATCACAGTTCTATAGCTATGTCTCATTCCCCTATAATTTGGGCTGATGGGGGAAATAGGATATTCCAGACCATGAGTAAAATCAATGCCACCCCAAGACACCTTATGGCACTTGGGACATCTTAGCACCTCTTTTAACACCTGGCATGGGACATATCATAATTCCAGTCACAACTATACTATAATCTTTATTCATAGTCACACTGATCAGTGCCTGATTTGCACTACCCATCTATGTTTCCCCTATGGAAGCTAATATTTCCATTACACCCCAAAACTCCATGTTTGTGACCCAGGTGCAGAGACAGGCTTGGTTTGTCTCATGTATCCCTAATCACAACATACCTAATTTAAAAGTTACTAGTGTCATAGTATTAAGGAGACAATCTGAGGCATTCCTACCAGTCAATTTAACACATGGTTGGCAAGGTTCCTCTGCCCGTGCCACCTTAGAACGTGCTCTATCCCAGGTCAGACACAAAAGATTCATAGTTACACTTATGGCCTTTAAAGTCTCAGCCATAGTCATCCTGCAACTGCCAGCATCATGGTGGCATCTATTACTGAGTCACTATAAACAGCTGCCTTTGTAGATAATCTGGCCAAAAATGCATCTAATGAACTTCTCTTACAGCAAGGTACAGATCAAAAAATAATATCTCCTCTCCAGCACCACTTTTTTTTGTATCTGCCTGCCAGCATCGTAATAATAGATTGCTGTAGTTCCTGGAACCAATAATTAACCAGAAGCCAATATTTTTATAATTATAATTTATTCTATCAACTAAATATATTTTATTTCTACATTTGGGTATAAAAGAATTGTAATACTAGCATGCTGAAGGGTCATAAAACTATTAAAAATATGTGTAATTTAAAGAAATATTTATTTATAACAGCTATCACTCCTACCTAGTGAATGTATAATTATAAAAATATGTTTCTAGCTACAATTTTAGTTTTAAAGATTTACACAGAATTGGAGGACAAACTGAAAATACATGTCAAAATGTTCTTGATGGCTCTTTGGTGGATGATTAGATAATAGCTTGTTTTTTCACTATTTTTTCTAAATGTTTGTATTCTCCAACTTTAATGAAGCCATATTTATTTTAATTCAGGATTAAATAAGCATCCTAGTCAAAAAGCCAACCCTGCTCTGTGTTATCCTAGTTATCATTATGTGGTGAATTCCACTGTCTATACAAACTTCAAGAAGGTTGACAGACTGAGAAGAGTAAAGGTATCTGGAGACCAATGCCATTCTTCACAGGGGCTTCAGATAACATGAGGTCAGCCTAGAACTAAACCCAAGAAGACTTCCTCCTCCACTCTCCCAATCATCCTCTTCCTTCAAAAAACCTGGAGCCTCCAACCCAAGTACTCCAGACTAAGTCAAAATCTCTAATTGGAAAACACGTGGAGACAGGGTCATTCCGAGAAACCCATTCACATAAATCCCAACCCAGACTGATCTTTATCTAATTAAGACAACAATTCTTCCATCAAAACAAAAAAGAGGTTGGTATAATAGACACCACCAATTGCCTAAAGGTATTGGTTGAGAGAATGAAAGCTGGATGCAAACATAACTTGCATATTTCAGCAATTTGGCTCACTAAGTCACACCAAACTTTTTCAAGGAGAATGAATGTACGAAGGAACAACTGCCAAGT